GAAAACTTTATTTTTCTAACAAAATATGATTTTGAAACATTATAGCTTAATATCTTTATAGTTATCATTTTTCACAAGATCATAGCTCCGTAACATATTTCTAGTGTATATAAGAGAGAAAAAGATCGTGAGCACTAATATAGATATGTAAATAAATATTTATGATATTTAGTTAGTAAGAAATTTCTAAAACATAAATATAGTTTTTTGTTATAAATTTTTTTCAAAATATAGTATATATATATACATTAAAATAAAAAGCACTAATACTTTTCCAAGCTATGCTCGTGAAGAGAAATAGCTTGAACATTGTAAGTAGAATAGATGCTTTATCAATTATGTTTACATACTCATCATATTGGCTTTTCTTACTAATATATTGGAACAGATGCGCTATCAATATATTAACCTTAGACAACAACACAAAGACAATACGTTATTCTAAGATAAAAGTGATTACCAAACAGTGTTAACATGATAGTTAACATAAAACAATACGAACATAACAGTGTTTAAGATAACAGTGATTACCAAACAGGACAGTTAACATGACAGTTAACCTAAGACAAGACAGTGATTACGAACATAACAGGATAGTTAACAAGCAATTAACCTAAGGCAAGATAGTGATTACCAAACAGGACATACTGCTAACCTAAGACATGACAGTGATTAAATAGGACAGTGTTTACGAACATAATAGTGATTACCAAACATGACAGTTAACATGACATTTAACCTAAGACAGGACAGTGATTAAACATGATAGTAATTAAACAGAACATAACAGTGATTACCAAACATAAAGATGAACATACAGTGATTACCAAACAGGACAGTTAACCTAAAAAACAACACAAATATGAACAAACACTTGCCGTGTTAAACCCAACATAATCATATGGAGGATCGAAGTTGTTGTTGTTGAGAGGATTGTTGTTAAGAGGATTATTGATGAGAAGATTGTTGTTGAGGATTGTTGATGAGAGGATTGTTGAGAGGAGGGTTGAGAAGCACAACCGCTTTGAGAATAGACATGTAGGTTCCATTTGGTGCCTACTCCAGTTATATTCGACAAGCAGGTACAAAACTTTGTTA